AAACACGGTTTAGCAAAACAAAAAGCATCGACGTGCATTGTCATGGTGGCAACATAAAAGCACGGTCAGAGACCTTCTTGCAGAAATAAAACATGCAACATGATGTGGTTTAGTGTTAGTTGCACAGGAGCCCTAGCCGGAGTTCTATCATTTCTGAAGATGTATTTCCTGAAGCACACAATATCAGTGCAGAGTGATTTTCTCTTTGCTCTTACTTTATCACTTTGTTATTAGATATGTAGCATAAAAGAGCAGAATACAAAACTGATGAATCACCACATGGTTATATTTCATGGCTGAATATTTGCATTTTATTGCTGACCAAGACAAAGTTAGTAAGCCTAGGGTGAACCACTGAACCGGGTAGAGCTTTTTTCTATCCGGCCAGAATATCCAGTCGGAAATGTTTGATATATAAGCTAGGTTTGAGCTTTCAATTCATTTAAGGTAAAACAATGGTTTCAATTGACTATAAAATGGCTCATTTGTTTATACTATTTTGACTCAAACACATGGATATTTACACTTCATTATGTTGTTTAATTAACAACTGTCATTTACTCAATCTTTTTATTCTAACATTTGGATGCTCTCTGTTTCATGACTGAAAGTGTCTGACTGTCTGGCAGAAGACAAACTAACATATGACCATATGACTCAGTTCCAGCTGGAACATTCTTCCAGTTCCGGCCAGATCCAGTTCCAGCCGGAACTTAAAAAAATGGTTTCTGGTGCACCCCTACAGGTCTAGCCTAGGAAGGCACTTGATCGTGTGTGCATGCCTATTAACTCATTAAGCCGCAATGCGTCCCAGTGCACCCTACTTTTTTTGCTTGTCGAATGCCAATGGGGAAGCTCTGCACTTCAAGGGGCTAACCAAAAAATCTGACAATGTCTCTAGCTATTATGCACCTATCAATGTTAACCCCCAAAGGGGGGGGGGGGTTCGGGCATATGTGGGGTATTTGATTATCAATTCCATCCCCACCCTGGGGATTTTGATTAGCATTTTGGCCCCGAGTTGGGGCAATTTGAACCGAATGATTGTTATTAACATAGTATTTATTGCAATTTATTGCAAGATGGTGGGGGCATTTGACCAATATTTATTGCCGAACGGTGGGGCATTTGATTGGAAATTTGCTAAAAAAATCAAATGCCCCACCTATGCCCCCCCCCCCTCTGGGGCTTAACATTGATAGGTGCATTAAACCCATTGAGACGTAATGTGCCCCAGTGCCCCTATAGGTGCATTAAACCCATTGAGACGTAATGTGCCCAGTGCCCCTTACTTGTCTAACGCCAGACAATTTCACTCATCAATGGGGAAACATGCATGTTACAGTAAGTTCAGACTGTCAACTAGACATGTAATAACAATATACGAAGTAGAGTCTCGCTTAAGTAGGTGCATAGAAAATAGTGCCTTGAATGCACAGTAGCTGCACTATTGATCAAGTATCTTGGTTTTCATCCAAGCAAGGCCTGATACTAGTTTATATTAGTATATTTTTGTATGTCATCTAGTGTCTTTAATAGTAAATAGTCAACATTAACATCACTATGATATCTATATTTACCTTTATAACTTGAGTCGTTGTTAAGCCAATTTCTGCTACAGCGCTTTCGATCATTTCGCGATAATTTAGACCAACACCGACCATTCCACGGCCGTAAAACCTTTCCAAAATATCTCTCTGGTTGTCGCTTATTCTAGTTCTCTTTCCTATCTCCATTTCATTGCACTGAATCGCAAATAGACTAGAAAATCTGCTAGAAATGTTTTCAAATATGGCAGCTCAAAGCTCGAGAAGAACGTGTGATAGAAAGACGATTGTGATTGGTTTATATATAATGATATGCGAAAGTGTCAGCGTAAGGTAGCGCAGGCGATAGTCTGGCACGGGTAATACCGAATATTCTCAATTGAGAACATATGGGTAATACCCGTTGAGGTGTATGCTAAACGGGTGGATTAAGGGCAATTCCTTTTCACATAGCCACAGTCTTTGATGATCCTGATGATGTAAATTGGGCGTGGAACAAACTTCTTACCGATTCAATTGAACGCCACGCTCCATTGAGACAATGTACTATTCGTGGCAATCAAGTGCCCTTTTTGACAAAGGAGCTTCGGAAATCGATTATGACGCGTAATCGTCTTCACAAAAAATTCCTAAACTCAAGATCACCTGAGGATTGGGAAAATTATCGTATGCAAAGAAATTATGCTGTCAGCTTACGCCGCCGTTGTATTAAAAATTATTTCAAAAACGAAGCCCACGAGGGAGCAAGGAACCCCGAGTTTTCTGGTCAACATTTAAACATTTTCTGCATTCTAAACAGTCTTGCATGAGTACCAATTTTCATCATTTTGAAAATAACTCTACAATTACTAATAAGAAACTTATTGCAAATACTTTGAACCAGTACTTTGTTACAGCCGGTACGGGAACTAATTCATTCTTCACCTTAAATGATGACCTTTAAGAGCATCCTAGCATAAAGAATATAAAAGAAAATTTGCCTTATGTCTCCGCATTTAAATTTAAATGTGTGAGCTCTGTTGAAGTCAAGAATGTAGTCAAGGATTTAAATAGCCCATAATAATTTAATTAGCCCATAATAATATCCCAATAAAACTTACAAAGTCCGCTGTTGCGGAGTTAGCCGAACCTCTGTCAGAACTGCTTAATCATCATATCATGAAAAATAGTTTTCCTAGCTCAATGAAGCTTGCTGACATCACGCCCGTTCCAAAATGTTCCAGCGCAACAACTAAAGAACAAATACGACCTATATCAATTCTTTCAGTTGTTGGTAAAGTATACGAAAAATGTTTAAATTCGCAACTAACTGATTATGTCAAAGACCGAATAAGTAAATACCTTTCGGCCTATCGTAAACATTATATAGTTGGCAGACTGCACTGTTGCACTTGATAATGGTTGACTGTTGGGGTTATTATGCTTGATTTAAGCAAAGCATTTGATTCATCACCTCATTCCCTTCTAATTGCTAAACTGCGAGCGTATGGATTCAATGAAGATAGACTATGCCTGATGGAATCATATCTAACTGAACGTTACAAAAGGGTAAAGATAGATGATTGTTTCTCAAGCTGAGAGAAAATTATAAACAGAGTTCCGCAAGGTTCAATAGAAAATTCCCATTATAGACTAATTTTAAAACTAGGCAAGGAGATGCAAATAAATCATCACAGCTAGAAAGAGCATACTAAAATTAGTAAAGCTACCACATTTGGTTGCGAAATGTTGTAAAATCGGTGGAAAATATAGTCTTGCAATGTTTGCAAATTTTGTATACAAAAGTATTGCGTGCGACCATTTTCGGCATAAATGTGGTAGGAATGTGGTAGGAATTTCGGCAAGCAATACAAAAGTATACAAAATTTGCGAAATTTGCAAGGCTACACTCTAAAAAATAGATGTGTTGGAATAACACAACTTTTCTGTCCAGAAAACAACACATCTTTAGCTGTGTTTAAATAGCACACATTGTGTGTTACGGTAACCCACCAAAAGGTGTGTTTTATGCTTGTCCAGAAAACAACACGCCTTAAGCCGTGTTACTCCAAAAGGTGCGTTAGGAGACACGCTTAGGTGTGTTATTAGTAATCCGATGTGTGTTAAGACAGCACAACCTAAAGGTGTGTTGCTTTAGCACGTTTAGGCGTGTTCTGCATGTGCTGAAACAGCACGCCTTTACGTGTGCTAAAACAACACGCATTATAGGTGTGCTAAAGCAGCACGCCTTTACGTGTGCTAAAACAACACGCATTATAGATGTGCTAAAGCAACACGCCTTCACGTGTGCTAAAACAACACGCATTATAGATGTGCTAAAGCAGCACGCCTTCACGTGTGCTGAAACAACACGCCTTTTGGGTGTGCTGAAACAGCACGCCTTCGGTTATGGCATGCTAAGACAACACGCCTTCTTGAGTATTAAATTACACGAACACGTATTTTGTATTATATGGTCAAAAAATATTTTAATTCGAATGGACACAATATCAATATGAAAACGGCCTTGTAAGGTCTGCTGTGTAATACATTAAAATATTCTACATTAGAACATGCAAATATAACAAATGAATGCAAATTGTTCATATCAGACGTTTTCATACAGTTATTAATATGGCAGTAAAATACAACGCCATATTTGCGAGGTTAACATCCATTATAATCGCACCAGTCTAGGCTTCAGTCTTTTCTTCATTAAGACATTTTTCATCTACACATTTATCTTAAATAAACTCCAGTTCCAAATGGGATAAATATTGTTGCAATCAGATAAAGTAAGCAATTTGTAATAGAAATGTCCAATTAGGCTATTTGCCATAGACATATCAAATATAGAGTGAGGATAGTTGGAATCAAATACATCAATAACAATCTGCATGATATAAGGTTAACCAGGGCTTCCAAGAGATTTGTTGTTGTCGCAAGGATAGACTTATCTTTCTCCAAACAAATGCTTTAAAGCTAGCATCTTCTGGTGTGGTGGTTACTATCAGTTTAAATTCTACCATCTTGACTTTGAACAATACGTCAACCTTTGGCGTGAGGAGATTGCTAAGTATAAAAACATAATTCAATAAATTACCGCGCCAAGGGGAAAGTGCTCGTGGGCTGTAAGGGTGTGGGTGTATTAAATTTTCACAATCGCACTTTATTTAGCTTAAACAAAAACAATCAAAACATTTGAATTTGAAATGAAAATTGCTGCATAACAGTATTTATGTGTCAAATGAATCATGCATTTGTACATAGCTCATCCCACCATAACATTAATATGCAGATAATGCAGCAATCGAAACTCACAACCACACATACAGTTTCCAGCCTTACAATTAAAATGCAATTGAAATAGATGCGACAAGTCCTTAACCTGACAAAATGCAGGAATTTATCAAATGCTCGATACTTGATTCTATGGCAAATAGGCAATTTATATATTTTTAGTTTGGATTGTTTCCAATAAGTTTGTACATTATAATATTAATACAGTACCAAACATTTCACTTGAAAATGACAATTGCTGCATAACAGTGTTCCTGTGTCAAATGGGACATTTGTCCAGGGCGGCAAGGGATGGGTCATCCTACCCTAACA